ATATATATAGTAAGCTCACATCCCTGCCCCTCCTCACTACTTACCCATTCACAAAATGCCTTTGTATTTTTCTCAAAGTATACAAGGCGTTCTGTGATTGGAACAAGAGAGGAGAGGGTGGGGAAGTGTTATTTTTCCCGGAGTTTGGCTTTAAGGGGCGGAGGATGGCAGGCATACATTGAAAGTGTGTGTTTAGCCAAAACTTTTTTCTTAGTTTGGATACATTGGGGAATGTTTAGAACCCCTGCCAGGTTCTTACTGCTATCTGGGACTCACCCTCACTTTCTGTCCTGCTGACAACCTTTACCAGACAGGAAGTGGGGAGAGCTCTTCAGCAGGAACACAAACAAATAAAAATGCTCACTTCCTGTCCAGTGAAATCGTTGTGAGCAGGACATGATGTGAGAGGAAATCTTTCTAACAGAGAGACCCGGACAGCAGGAAAAACCCAACAGGGGTTCTAATCCTTCACCACTTTACCAAAAACTAGAAGAAGAACTTTTGGCAGTTTAGCAGCAGATCAAAGCAGGAGAATGCTGGATTTGCTGGGCAGTTATGTATGTTTTCTGAAGAAAACCCGGCAAATAGGTAAGAGGGGAAAAAAAAAAAGAAAGTGTGTGGGGGGAGTGTAAAGCTGATGTTCCTCTTTAAGACCAGATGGATTGAACAGACTACACAGGGGGCACAGCCTATCTGCCCCAGGGGGTGTATTTCCTTATGAAAAATAGTTTTGTAACCAGTGTGTCGTACTAGATATACTTATAGGAAGCCTACAATTAAGCAGGTCAAAGATTCTCCATCCATGGAAGTCTCTCTAATTAATTATACCCTCGATCATTAAAAAAAAAAAAATTATGCACAACCATGCTGTCCCTGCTTTAGCCTACAGGAAATATTACATGTAGAGACATGTAGATCTGAGGAACTGGGGTTGCACATAACAGAACGACCAAAATGCACTCCTGTCCTGTCCAGAGGGTTCTGAAATCCCTGCTTGGTCTGGCAATGGGAAAATTCAAATAAAACTCAAATTAAGGTAAACTGAATGGATTGACCTCTGCATAGTGACTCTTGCAGGTCTATTCACTACAGGGTGAAGAGTTTGGAGAAGTCAGGAGAAGTGAACAATCTAGGACAACATAGCTGAACTGGAAAGTGAGCTGAATGGGATAATTTTTCCAAAATCAGCTATGTTATCCTAGATTGCTCACTTCTCCTGCCTTCTCCAAACTCTTCACCCTTTTGTGAATAGCCCTGTTGGACTGTAACTGATCACTAAATCAATTTTACTTGTTGCCTCGTTTTGCTGTTTAACGAGGACATCCGCATTTATCAAAACACATAGTAGTACATACTTGATCGATAGATAGATAGATACCGGTAGATAGATAGAAACTGTGATAAAAATATGACAACGTCTTTAAAAATGATCTCAGGATCCGGCTATAACTTTTTTAAAGTTTAACCATATAGTACATACTTATCTCTGTACATCACTGGCATGTAGGTGCCCATTGGTAATTAGGGTATAATAAGTAATCAGCCGACCTCACAGCCTATGCAGCAGAACTCATGTTTCAGAAGCAGCATTTCAGTCATGTACACTGTACCTGTGATGTACACAGGAAACCCTATGCATTCTTAAAGTGTATTTATTTCCCTCTTCTGAATCCGCATACAAAACAACCTTCAATAAAGGATACTAGGCTATATTTAGCAGTACTTACTGAGAAATCGTCCGGCCAATGTTGTTCCAGAAAGCGCTCCGATAAATAAAGGCAAGGCAGACAGATTACATATCCCCGGTTGTGCGATTGTGTTGTGTTGTTAACTCTATTTCTTGTTTGCCTAGTAATAGAGCAGAAAAGCAGCTTCCTTCTCTGTCTGCTGACTGGCCGGCATCCCCTGCACTATTTGCACATAATCGATAGCTTGCAGTGGAAAGCAGCAGTAAATTTCCACTCTGGTTGCTTCTGCGCTCAGATTCTTTTTTCGGATATAGGCAGTACCGTTTCTGGTTCAACCAGCTCTTACTGTGAAACTTAGCTGCTCATCGCAGGAATGTGTGTAAGACAAAAGACAAAATAAAACATTTGCCAAGGGAATCGTCTGAGGTTAAAGTCCCCACTAGCACAGCAGGGCAGAGCGCACTTCAGAAGTGTTCCGCCTTACTGACGGAGTTAACCTCTCCCAGGCCATAGAGAGAGACACAGAGGCAACACATTCTACTCAATGACTAAGTACTCTCATAGAAGAACAACACTGTACATACAGGAACCCACAGAATCAATTCCACTACATCTAGCCATATAATCCGCTGGTTTAGAAAAGGTGTAAGATCTGATTTAAAGTCCTCCGGCAAAATTGTTCTTAACCCTGGCATCACTAGGGTACCCCCACACTGCAAGGGTTAAAGGATAATTAAACCCTCGAGGGGTTTTTGCATATATCCACTGCTAACAAGCAGTAGATATACTGTATGCAAGAACATTACAAAAAAAAAAAGGTACAAAACGGCGAGAAGGATCATGGGGCGGGTGCATGCGCAGTACAGATCTTCAGCCAGGAGACGAGGAGAGACACAAGGTAAGCACACGCACAGACTCCGTGGAACAGGAAGACACAGCAGTCAGCGCTGGATCAAAGACCGGCAACAGCGCTGGAGGGACTCCAGAAAACTGTAAGAAAGAAGATGATGGGATCAAGAGGCATCATTTATGGTAATTCCTTGCACTAGCACGGGGGGGGGCTGGGGGGAATATCCTTTAATGTCACTTTAAGTGTCCGTTTTTGTCTAGGTGCAGAAATTAAAAAGTTCCTTCCAGCCTATTTTCCCCCTCCGCTTCAGTGGTCCAAGGTCCCTGCACATTGTATTGGATGTGAGGTGCATACCATGGCAGAGGAGGAGACAGGCTGGAGGGAGCGCTGGAGGGAGTTCGGGTGAGTATAACTTTGTAGTTTTCACACCAGAGGAAAACGAGAACTTAACCCTTGTATTTACGGGGTAGCCCCACTGTAAGGGTTAAGATTTTTTTCACGGAGTTCTTTCAAACAAAAAGAGAATTTGTAGGTGTCACTTTCATCTTTGTACTAAACCACAGAACCAGAATTCTGATGGTAACCACTCGTGTCTGAAAGTATTTCTTTACATTTTTCCCCTAGCACTTAGTCATGTTTCCAATTAGATGACTCCAACTCTCTCAGCTCGGCTCCCCTGAACTTTCTGTCCAGTATAAGATCACAAGGGACAGCACAGTGTCCAGCAGCTGCCCATCTACTAGCCTGAGGAGGGGGGAGGGGAGAGGCTTGTCTTGCTGTGTCTGTGTTTTTGTGGAGATACACACAACTTTTACACACAAGTCTGGCAGGTTATAAATAAAAGTGTATGAAGTGTCCCCATTGTTTGTTGTATGTACTGCATTTGTGAGGTGCTTCTCCAGCACATACCCCTTTTACCAGTACGTCTCTGGAGAAACCAAATGAATGGTGTTCATGTATTACACTGAAGACTTATTACATTATACTATGAAGACACGGAATCATGTGACATCCATTTGGAAGTATACTGCAATCAATTGTTGGAAGTCTAGGGTGCTGGCCCTGAGAGTATCAGCACTTTTGCCTATAGCCATGGTGCTCCGCCTCACAGTCATTTTTTGTTACTTTCACCTTCAGGATGTTTGGGCACTGGCATGCAAATTATGTTAAGAAAGCCCCCGTATAACTCCGACTCCAACCGTCATGCCCGTTTTGCTAGTGTTCTAGCAGGTTGGACACCTTTTCCTCAGGTCTGTGGAGAATGCTTAGCTAGATTCCTATTAGCTATTTCAATTTGCAATATCCAATAGCAAGCTGGCTATTGCACCCGCCCTCTGCTGCTGTCAATCACTAGAAGGGGACCTGATGGAGACCTGCAAGTCCTCTTCTGCTGATTGACAGCAGCAGAGGGCGGGTGCAATCGCTAGTTTGCTATTGCAAAGTGAAATAGCCAATAGGAATCTAGCTATGCATTCCTATGCTGTTTTTATTTCTTATTTTTTTCTGACTGACGGCAGCTGATGTCAGAAGAAAAGAAAAAGAACCAGAGCAGGGAAAGGTTTACTCTGCTCGATCGAGCAGAGTAAACCTTTCTGGGGGAAAGTGTTTCTCTCCCGGGGCGGCCGGGAGCCGCTATCTAGTAGCGGGAAACTCCCGTAGCGTCCGGGAGAGTTGGGATGTCTTCAGGCGACCACTGGCAAATCGTCATTCGACCCCCAATGGGGTCACTACCCACAGGTTGAGAAACGCTGATGTAGAGGGAGCCACAGACCAGTGAACCTGAATAGGAATCAAGCAGAAATTCCCTGAATGGTAACAAAGTCATTAACAAAAATCAAAGGCTCCATTTAAACCATCAGTGCGCGCTACCGCACGGCCGCTGGCGTGCTCTGAATGGAAGCGGTGCCATGCACTCATTTCACTGCGACGCACTGTTTACCTTTTTTTCTTTTTTAACTTTATTGACCTGTCACAAAGTGACATTTCATTCAATACGATTCACCCCAGTGAATTATGATGCATAAAGCACTGCATTTGTTAGGACTGTGCTTGGCAACACAGCGCGGTGCATCTGGTTTGAACAAGCATATTGAGGTTTTGATACTGATGTTCTAATCATTTAGCACTCTCTCCAAAATTAGAAGGAAAGGTATGGCTAGAATTGGGCTTTAACCAGCACACTTTGCTGGACAATCTATATTTGTTTGGGCCTGGATTATTCCTTCAGTACCGTGGGGTACCTGGAATACTCCTCCAGATATGGGTGAGGTCTTTCAGGGGATCTTGCGTTCCCCCTTGGGCTGGAACTGGCTTATTCCTTCAGTACGGGGGTACCTGGATTACTTCTCCAGATATGGGTCAGGTTTTACAGGGGATCTCACATTCCCCCTTGGGCCGGACCTGGATTATTCCTTCAGTACGGGGGTACCTGGATTACTCCTCCAGATATGGGTCAGGTTTTACAGGGGATCTCACATTCCCCCTTGGGCTGGACCTGGATTATGCCTTCAGTACGGGGGTACCTGGATCCCTCCTCCAGATATGGGTCAGGTATTTCAGGGCATGATGCTTTCCCCTTGGGCTGGGCCTGGATTATTCACTGTGCAAATTTCAGCTTCCTTAACAAGTGGCACATAGGACATGGCTGGGGACCACCTTGGAGGCATTTTTACAATGTATGTATTGCATTTAATGAGTTTCAGATGGCCCTTATTTTACTGGAGCTATTGAACATGTCCTGGTCATTACTCACTCTTACGTTGGTAATTTACTTTACGCCCTTTTTTATGTGTACCCTTGTATTATTGTGTTATATTTTCTGTTGTATTATTTTAAAATAAAAATAATACAACAGAATAAAAATCTTTGTAAAACAGAATGTATCCCGTCTACCATCTTAGGAGAGCTCTGAGGAAAAAAAACTACAACATATTAGCTTATGTGTACAAGGTGTTCCTATTTCTGCATACTGTGATTAACACAAATCCCTTTGCAGCAGGTAAGAGCAACCCGCTCAAAGAAAGTGAATGGGGAAGGAGTCAGTTTTGATTAAAGGCATATTCCACCATTTGCAAAAAAAATACATTAATAATAATAAATTATAAAATTATAAATTAAAAAATGGGTATTTATTTATTTTGCACTAGAGCCTGCAAAGCATTGCAACTGCGCTCAGTGGATTATAGGGGTAATGCACAGGCTCCTACACAATATAGCCCCAGTCCCGTGCCCATAAACTGAATTTTAAAAAAATACATGATACAGTCAGGAGAAGAACTTCGCAAATCAGGTTAAGAGAGGGGCAGTTTGAGCGTGAGGGGCTGCAAACTGTAACCATGTTTCACATTCCTTTAGCCATATCTTTAAAATAACAACAAAGGCACCTTTAGTTTAGTAATGACCATCTACAAACACATGCTTCTAGATAATTGTTGGCTTTGTATTCTTTGCATTCCGTATTTTTGTTTTCTTCCCCAGTCTTCTCACAGTGGCCATGTTTACTAAGGGCCGATTACTAGTTCTCTTTTTACTTCCTGGATTTCTGGCACATGTGACTAGACATGTGACCATGCACATCATCTCAGGGGGAGGAAATGCCTTTACCTGAGATTACAGATGAGATTTCCCAGTAATGCTCTGCTGATGACAAGGCAATCCCAGTGTGCATTGCTTTGGCAAAATTACGTCATTTTGCTCTTTCAAAGCAGGAAGTGAATGCTCTGCAAGTGTAAGAATTTCACAATCACAGCATTTTACACCTGACATGTCTATGTTATTATCAATCATCATCCATAGAGCGATGCATTGGTAAAGTTTGACGTTTCAGTGTAAATGTCCACTTTAATATAGATATAACATGGAACATGGTCAGAATTAGCATTTAAACCGAGTCATATTTAATGGCTACTATATTGCCTGGAACCCTAAGAAGCAGGACAATGTCTGAGCTTAACAGATTGAAAAGGAACTTGGATATTCAGGAGTTTAATTCATTATGTTACGGCTTCAGGAAATTGTGGAAACAATTAAAAGTAGAGCACGTCAGCCAAGCAATGTGTTGCGGAGGCAATTCGGTGTAAAGGAGCAACAAACTCTGTACTAGAAAGGTCATTCAAGGTGAGGTGACACTATGTCTAATACTAACAGATTATCGACATGAGAACTGTGCCTTAAATGATGTACTTTTCCCATACAGAGCAAAGTAACAGGTTCACTTTACTCTATGGAACATAAGAGCATGCCACATATGACCATCCACTCGACCATCCGCAGCCAACCGGCCCGAGAAATATCTGTTACTTCTTGGTATAGGGGACACCATACGGGGCAACAACACTCTCCCCCGGCATACCCACAATACAGCACCTACCGCCTGAATGGCCAATAGCCAGGCCTGCGCACTGTCCCTGTGCAAGTTTCAACTTCCTTAAAGGGTAATTCCACTTTCCCTGGTGAATTTGGGAAAATGTAATTAACACCTCTAATCTGGCTCCCTCCACCCCCCACTAAACTTACCTTTGGGCGAATGCAGGTATACTATCTGTTCCCCCTAATGCTGTGTAGCGCAGCCCTGTGCTCTGGATTTTGAATTTCGCTCGCAAATGGCGAGCACTAATTGGTCACGGCAG